CAACAAAAAGCGAAAGAAGTTCGTAAACATACGAAATTATTTATGAAAGATACAGGACAAGATTTATCAATGGGACTTTCTGAATTTCGAAGTCTTGAAGGTTTTTAAATTTTTTCTTTTTTGAAATATTTATAATTGTGTATTGAATTTAGAATTACTTTTTTTTTATGGTTAATACAGAAACAGATGCGAAATTATGTTCACATATACAAGATACACTTGTTTATATGCTACAAGCATTAGGAACTATAGATCGTTCACAAAGTCCGTGCGTGTGACTGTTTTTTGAATAACTCGAAAAAGCAAACAGTTAGAGACCTGCGGTTTTCACCAATCGACAGAGAAGGAGTTAGGGCGTCTTTTTCTCTGATAATGTGTTAGACGAAATTCTTTTAAAACTGATCATCTTTGAAAAATATAGAAAAGAATGCATGAAAGTGACACACAATACACATGAAGTTTCGATTATGACCTTTGATTTAGATAGAGGAACTTCAGATCTATAGTTCAAAACATAATACACTTTCTTACGTTTCATTACATTTTCATCGAAGTATCCAGTTGTTATGACAAAAAATGCAAAAACGTAGTAAAACATCAGCAAAATTATCTATTATTTGCGCAGGTAAATACATGATTCCATTTGATCAACATTAAAATGCAATTAGAGAGCTATTTGCGTTGCATCTTGAACTATAGATCTGAAGCTCCTCTATCTCAATCAAAAGTCATAATCGAAACTTCATGTGTATTGTATATCACTTTCATGCATTCTTTTCTATATTTTTCAAAGATGATCAGTTTTAAAAGAATTTCGTCTGACACATTATCAGAGAAAAAGACGCCCTAACTCCTCCTCTTTCGATTGGTGAAAATCGCACGTCTCCAGCTGTTTGCTTTCTCGAGTTATTCAAAAAACAGTCACACGCACGGACTTTTTGAACGGACTATAGTTTACATAATGTTCAAGCAAAACAAGCTATAGATCTTTTTACTAGTAAGATATTTTTTTTTTATTCTTTCCATAATAGACATGAAATCTATAAATGAAATAAATTCATAGATAAATTTTTGCTTTCCTCAATTAAATGATTACAGATGTTACTAAGTTCAAAATGATTTTTCATTTGATTCATATTTGTCAGTATGAAGAGAAGGTTGTCATCAAAGAGATAATCTTCCATGAAATTTAAGTACTTATATACAAAATAAAAGACGTAGATATTATCTTCAATTTAAAGTTTCAAACAAATTTTTGAAAAAGAAAATGTCGAATAAAATAGATAGTTAATATAACATTTAAGATACAGTATAAATAAATTAGTCTAAAGAAAAAAATCAAATATGTAAATTATATCATTATGAAAAAAATGAATAAAGTATACATAAATATAGGCATTCATATAATAGAATTTTTTACTCTTCTCATTGTTTAGATGAAACTTCCATAATTCCGTACATTGAATAATCAACTTTTATCACTTACTATCGATATTAGTACAGACAGAACACAAGATTATCTAATAAACAATAATGCAATTATATTTAATCGTATCTTTACTATGTTTCCTAATTTACAATATTTAAATTTTGGTCGATCTTCAATTTACGATGAACGATTATCCTTTGGTTTGAGAGCTTCAACTGTTATTTCTACAAATTTGTTAGAATTACATGTCTGTTTGAATACTTTTGATGATTGTCTTTATTTACTTGATGGACATTTCAATCAACTTCATATACTTTATGTTGATCTAAATGTCATTGGCGATTTGAATAGAAGAGTTAATAACATAGTAAATTATTTTTTGAATTAATATCTAATTTAAATGAATTAATAATATTGTTTTCTTCTAGAAAAAACTACCTAGTTTAAAATGCTTTTGGTTACACTGTAAAGGCTAACATTTGTTTATGATGAATTAGTTTTACCACTTTTACAACGAATGTCAAATTTAGAAAAGCTTGATTTGTATATTACTGTTGTTGAAAGAAAAACATTTTTTGATGGTAATGATTTGAAGATGAATATTATTAATCATATGCCACAATTAAACAAATTCACATTTAATATTTGTTCATTAAGTAATTTTTATAATGAAATTAATTTACCATCAAATGAATATATTCAAAGGACATTTAGTAACTTTAACAATAAACAAATTATCTGTTGGACTGATTATTTTCCAAAAGAAAAACAAAGTTATTGCCATATTTATTCTATCCATATCAACTGAAATATTATAATGAGATAACGAATAATTTTCTAGGTGGAATATTTATAAATGTTCGTAAAGTATCATTATATAATGAACGTCCTTTTGAACATGAATTTTTCCTTCGAATTGAGAAATCATTTCCATTCATGGAAGAATTAACTATACGTAATCATGAACAACAAATTAATAAACAATTTAGAAAATCAAAAAATGAAAATCAAGATTTATCAATTATTAAATATCCTTATCTTAAACAACTTGATCTTATTCAAACGTGCATAGATTATTATGAACAATTCTTATTCGATACTAAAATGGATTTAGCATTTGGTGTTCGTGTTGGTATGATGTTTGAACTAGTGAAAGAAGTGACACATAATTTCACAAGAAATAGAACAAGAAATAATTGTGCAAAAATTAATTATGTAAATTTATGTACAGGAATACAATATGCTGGATATTCTGACAACTTTTCTGGTGGAAAACAACAACTTCCTGAATATATAAAAGACTATTTTCCTTATACACAAATAGATTGATTATTGTTAATTTGTTATTTAAATAAAACATGAACAAAATTAGATTGATTTACATAGAATTAAAGCATTGAAACAGAGAGATAGAAGTAATAAAGAATAATGATTAAAAATAGATACTGGATAGGAAATTGTTACAAATGAAAATATCCTATCTGTCTGTGTATACACTTTAGAAAAAATTGAAATAACAGATGACGCAAAAGTTTTGGATCTATTTTCTTTTCAGTATAGCATGGCAACGAATCTTCATAGAGACTTAATCTTTGTTTTGTTAGAAAGTGCAAGATGTCTACTACAAAAGTATGTAAAAATATTTGATTCAAAATGGTTACCAAAGACTAAAAAGCCTTAAGAATAAGTTTGACCAAAAAAAGTGCCTTTCAACTTAACTCAAAACTAGAGACAAGAAGTGCATTTGTTTATTTTTTTTTTGTACTCGGCTTTCGATGTTGGGAGGCACATTATATGTGAGTCTGACCGATGCAACGTGAACTTTTTAATCATACAAAAACATTCCAGTTAGAAAACTACAGACGTCAAAGGAAACAGTTTTATTAAAAAGTTGATTGTTCATCTACAACGTCCAATGAAGGTTTTCTCATAATGTCTAACAGAGAAACAAAATTCTGTTTTATATAATTTGTTTTTGTAGAGGACTCAATAAGCTTTAATTGCATATAAAATCGGCGGTTTCTGCTAACTTCAATGTCGGAAGAAATCTTATTTTTCGAAGTCATTGATTAGTTGTGAAAAATTTGCACTAACAAAAGATGTTAGAAAAATGTTGATTTCGAACTCAACCGGTCACTTGAAAATCTTATTTTTGCGCGTTTACAATGCTCGATGGTAGTGCTATAAAACCCGATAAAAGCTGAAAGAAAAGACCAATTTTCTTTGTAGATGAAATTTCTTCTTCTGAATTCCAGAAGTTGAAAGACACTTATTCAGTCCGACATGTTCTTAAGACTTTTTAGTTTTTAGTAAACATTTTGAATCAAATATTTTTTACCCAATTTTCTATTAGACACTTACCTGTTTTCAACGAGAAAAAGATTAAGTCTCTATAACGATTCGTTGTAACGCTAAACTGAAAAGAAAATTAATGCAGAACTTTTGCACCATCCGTTAGTTTTAGAAATAAATAGTTTGTGTAATTAACATCTGATAAAACCAAAAAAGTGTCTGATCTACAAATGTTTATTATGGAAGTTAATAAAGAAGAATTTATTAAAATTATTGTCATGAATTACAGAAAGAAAATGAAGACTAAAATTTTTTGACATTTTTCCTTTCTTTTTATGCATTGTGATTCGTTACAGCCAACATTATCTTGTTACATATATATATTCACTTTGTTAAACCATATATGATGAAATTGATTGATCAACATAATTATTTGATGATGATTATGAAGTAAACCAAACAATACAACGAACATTTAAAGAATAAGTAACAAATGCAATGAAAGGGTGATTTTATTGTAAAACAAAAAATGATTGATCATTATTATTGAAACGCTTAGAATTTCTGTTGATATTGACTAATAATAACATAATTAATATTTGTATTTAATTCACTAAATGTTTATTCATATGTATAACAAATGATAATTTTTTTTTCTTGTATGAAAAATATTTATGATGATTTGTCTTCTTGTTTTAATTTACTATTTGGTATGAGAATTCGTTATCGTACTTTCTTTATCGAAATAAACTAAGTAAATAACTGAAACTAGTAATGATATATTAATATATAGTCATTGAGTTTAGTAGATTGAAAAAAATCAGAAACATTAGTTAACCTGCAAACCAGAAAAAAAAGTGACCTATTGGCAAGTCTGATTAGAATGATGATTTTTCTTGATTTAGAAGAATACAAAAATTTTCTTTAACAAAATGCTCATTATAAACAGATTATGAACATTTATAACATTGATTTAGAGTTTTTCTATCTTTTAAACGATCATAATTTGAATATGATTTTCTCTGCATTTTCTCCATCATGGAATAACAAACAAGAGCTAATGCATTTGGTATATCATTGTGTAAAAATTTCGATGTTTTCGAACTTAAATCAAGATGATGAATAGTTAAACTTGTCATTAATTTTAAGCGACGTTTATGTTTTTTACTCTTATTCCAATTGTCATTTTTGCTTCTTTCATACTATTAGGGTATTTCGGACAGCAATAAGTCATTGCATTACTTATCAATAACTTTTCACCTTCGTATAATTTTGTTGGCTGACCAAGACAAACACTCATAATTGACATAAAAAATGACAATGAATCTTTTTAATAATCGACTACAAACTTTAAATAACGAAAAATGCAAGTATTTTTCGAAACTTTGTCACATACTTCTTTGAGTAATTGCTGCATGTATATATTAAGATAAGAAAGTCGTAAAAATCATGAGTGCATTTATTTTATTATTAAGAAAAAAATCATACAATTCTTTTTGATTAAAGTAAAAATCAATCAATTTATATAGTAGTAGTATCAAATGAAGTGAAACTATCATGTACTCGTTAATTTCGAAATGAATCTTGTTTATTTTTAACTCCTATAAGGGTGTGGGTGTGGGTGTAGATTACTTGTTGAAACCCACCCACACCCACACCCTGTTACTGATATATAGTTTTTCTCTTCTTTAATCTCATTTATATTAACATTCGAACCCTGCAATTCATCACTCATGGCTGAATCTAATTCAGTTTAACATGTCAGAATTATCATCTGGAAAAGACGCCTTCTGAAACTTAGAATTTAG